AGTTGCCATAACCAGACACCAGAGTTACTGTAATTAGCAGTACAAGTTTAAAACTTGGTGGGTTAGGTAAAATTTTAAAGTGTAGGTAATTCTTGTTTGGACATGTTTATTAGCTCGAGATGCTGAGTGAAACTTCCAAGGGTCACCTCGTAAATACAACCAAAGTTTGATGAAATCAGATTCATACTATGAAAATATTGGGCCAAAACATTAACATTCAGCCCACTATGATTATCATCATTGCCTCTGTAAACTTAATATATACTTATTGTATTGTAATGTCAGTGCTGTATTCTAGAAGTGTATAATTTCACTAACTATGATTGGATAATTGCAGAAAAGTTTGATACAACCATCCTGCAGTGGGTTTAAAACATTTGATTTCTTTGAAGGCTGACATTTTCTTTTATCGCCAGGAATGATGAGGCTTCCTCAGTGTCAGATAAGGTGAAGTATTTATTTGTGTAAGCTGTATATATGAATTATGCAAGAATTTCTATTTATTGAAACTGCACTATACAGAGAGCTAAACCCTAGTTCTACTTTTAAGAGCTTTGCAAAAAAAGTTATCTGTTAGGTGGCATTGTTTCCAAAATATAGTGGTACTGTGCAGTTACCTGTACACTTTAAATGTCAGTTATTCATTAAAATTAGCAATATATTGTAGTTCCACATAAATTTATTTATGGACATCCACACCTTTTTTTCCCCAGTGTATTGTAGAATCTTTAGGTTACATTCCAGAATGAATCCATTCCCTAGTAAAGTTATACAATATTTTATTTTAGTAAAATAACAAAAAAAAAGTATTTAAATTTGCTACCTCACAGTCAGGATTTTAGTGCAAAAAGAATCTTTTTAACACTTCTTTGTATAGGATAAATTTTCACGCTTTTGAAAGTAAAATATTACCCTTGTTGATGGCTTCAGAAAGATTTATCAATTTGTGTTAAAAAATATGGCTTGTAGTGTTCTGAAATTATCATGTTCCTAGAAAAGTTGAGAAAATTTTGTATCTTTTATGCAAGTTGCCATTGAATGATAATTTGTAGTAGATTTATCTATAGGTGTGCAAGCACATGTATGCATTAGAGTAATAATGATAAATGAATAGTTTGCGCACTGTAAATTCTAACTGAATTGCCATAGGTCAGTGTGTGGAGCTTAACTAGTTATGAATAAGGGTAGGGGGGCAATGCAGTTATGAATGGGGATAGGGGGCAATGCACAGTTGGCTGCTTTAGCAGCAGTTGCACAAAGAATCAAACATGGCTTGATAATATTTTGCTTCACACATTAATTGGTTAATATTCATTTTTATAAGGTCAATTGTTTATCTGGAGTTTATCTGGAGAGAGTTCCGGGTCAACGCCCCCATGCCCGGTCATTGAACCAGGCCTCCTTAGGTCAGTTTATCCCAGATGCGACCCACACCAGTCGACTAACAGCCTAGGACACATTTTACTGATGGGGAACATAGATCAAATTGGTGAATAGAAACATCGTCCAATTTTAATTAGCTCTGGCTGAGAATCGAACCCAGGCCATCACCGTGTTGAAAGCGGAGCGTTAACCACCAGGCGAGATATTTTCAGCAGGGTAGTTTTCAAGGTTTGTTTCAATAATTATATAATATTGTATTATTCACTTTATTTTAATAGAAATTTTCTGTTAGAGAAATATGTATGTACTTAATTTATACACATATATAAGCATCAAGTTATTTTATATGTAGATAGGCTTATTAAGAAGGTTAATTATTTAGATTAGTGCAGTAAATATATATTTTACCGTGTAATTTAAGAGCACAGTATTGTTTTAGTAAATAGCTTTATGAAAATTGAAGGCCATATTTCTCATAGCTTTCTTTAGTAATAATGATAATAACATACCTTAAACATCTTTAATTATTGCTGTTTAGCTTTGTGCCATACATGATCACCAAGAGCATAACTCAGTTGTTGAAGGGAACGAATGTAGCCATAAGATATAATTTTTATCATTATGAGAAAATCAGTGCCCATGAGCCCCTTCATTGTGTCATGACACTTTCAAATGTCCAACAAGTATGTTAGGCACTTACATGATACTACAAACCTTAACTCTTGCTAGTTCATATACCACATTTCACTATCATTTTGACTTTATTGTATCATGCACATTTTCATTTGTTTATTTCATCTTATGATGAGTTTTTAAGCAACTGGAAGTTACATTGCAATGCAAAACTATAAAGTAATTACAGTAATTTTCAGATATGTATATGTTCTTAAATGAAATTTACACATTTGAAATATGAAAATATTTTATTCATTTGTTAATCTAAAATTCTGTCCCCTTTTTTAAATTATAGTATTAAAACTTTGTCCAGGTTTTAAACTATTATTTGTTTTTCATTACACAGTATATGAACATAGTACACAGTCTCAAAAATTTCTGAAGAGTGAAGTTAGTGTTTTCATCTAGGCAGAGAATGTTGATTGGGGCTGCATTTACATTTCTCTGTTAAATACAACTTCGCAAACAGCTTAGAAGATGCTTAATGAATTAATCCTTTCACTATCTCATGGATATCTATAGTTTAAGCACAGAGCCTTCAGATACATGGTGAGCAGTGTATTTTGGCCCATAAATGAGGGAATGGGTCTGTGCCCAGTGTAAAAAGAATATCCCCATGCAGTGCATGATGGGAAAAGCAAACCTCTGACCTTGTGTTTGATTTAAAATAGCAATTTTGAGGTGTTTTCAAGGCAGACATATTAGTGAAGTAGATATTATTTTGGTCAGTTTCAGACTGGTAGTAACTTGAAATAGGTCCTCTGACTTTTTTTTACTGGGTCTTTGATTATTGGGGGCAGCCTAAAAAATGACTAATTATTCTTGGATTAATAAAATATAACAAAAAATCAACATTTTATCCTATTTCTTAATGTGATTATGGATTAAAATGAAGGGTAAATGTTATGTAAGAGGCCTGGGAACATGATTAATGAACAGAGGAAAGGTTGCTTTAGTGACTGGAATGCATAGTGTTTGTCTTTTTGGACTTTTTAAAATTGGAATTAGTTGAATTTTGTGTAAAATTGGCCAAAGTTGTTGCCAACTTCTGGGTGCTTTATAGATTATGTATTTCTGATAGTTGATATATATGTTCATGTAGCATCTCACTTTTCCATACCCCCCCTTGGAAGTTCCAGCTGTTCGGGTCTGTTCTTTCTCACTCCCTTGCTCGAAAGCTCAACTGCCTACGGTGGCTTCCCGCTCTCTTTTTCTTGATCACTTCCACGCCACCGCTGTGTACACAGATGGCTCTAAGTCTTCAGACGGCGTCGGATTCGCAGCAGTGTTTCCGGACAGCGTCGTGCGGGGGCATTTACTATCTTCAGCTAGCATTTTTACTGCTGAACTGTATGCCATTCTTGCAGCACTTATTCGTATCACATCTATGCCTGTGTCATCAATTGTAGTAGTCTCAGACTCCCTTAGTGCTCTACATTATTATTATAATCAAAAAAGAAGTGCTAAGCCACAAGGACTATACAGCTTAGTGCTCTACAGGCTATACGAAAATTTGATACATCTCATCCCCTAGTTCTCCGTATCTCTACCCAAACAAAGATATTGTTTTTTGTTGGGTCCCTGGTCATGTCGACATACAGGGCAATGAACAGGCAGGCACTGCTGCGCGGTCATCAGTACATGACCTACCAATTTCCTATCGAGGTGTTCCATTTCTGGACTAGTTTGCTGCAATAGCTACCCACCTGTTGGCAACAATGTTGGTCAACTCTGCTCGGTAACAAACTTCATTCTATTAAACCGAGCATAGGTTACTGGCCGTCTTCTTGTCATCAGTGCCGAGGTTGGGAGACCACTCTCTCCCGCCTTCGCATTGGCCACACTCGTCTTACTCATGGGTATCTCATGGAGAGGTGCCCTGTTCCTCTCTGTGAACAGTGTCAAGTTCCAATATCGATTAGCCACATTCTGTTAGACTGCCCTCTTTATCAACGAGCACGCAGAATTTACCTCCAACGTCGTCTTCGTTCTGCTACTCTCTCTTTACCTTCCCTTCTTGCTGATGGACCCTCCTTTAATCCTGACTCTCTCATTGACTTCTTGGCAACGACTGATTTACTCCACAAACTCTGATGATACTTTTCGCACTCCCCTCAGCCCTTTCTAGTTCAGTCTCTTGCTGCCCTTTCACCATCCACTACCCCGCTGTTATCCGTGACCTATTACTCATCCATCTCCCTTTTGCCACCTGATGCCCTCGCTTCCTTCCTGCCCTGCAGCGCTGTATAGTCCTTGTGGCTTAGCGCTTCTTTTTGATTATAATAATAATAATGATAGTTGATTGGGCAGTTTTGCCTTCAGTGGAGAGAATGGAAGGCACATTAATAAAATAGCAAAATTCCGTACTGAAATTGATTTAAAGGAGCAAAATCACACCAAGACCTCCAATCTTGTGCTTATATAATTCCACCACATTTCACAAATTTTTTTTTTTTGGAGTCATTCCCTTCAGAAAAAGATTTTCTACCATTGCAGATCATTTTTTTTTAAATTGAGACCCAGCACTTTTAATTTTGGGGGACAGTGAAAGGGTTAAGTTTCTTCATGCCTATGACATTCATTTTACACATGACAAGTACAGTAGTGCCTAATCTTTAAAGACTTTTGTGTGCTTTCACTTTTACCTGATCCACAGAAGCATAAGAATAAATAATCCAGTATAGCATTTCTATTTTATTTTTAAATTTCTCCTCCTCTACTTGGCAACACACGTAAGAAACATTCATACACGAGTACTGAGAATTAAAAATGTGCTGTAATGATGTACTGTAGTTGCTTTTCAAAAGATTAATAGCACAATGTGTGTGAGGTTTATGAAAAGCAATACTTTCTCTTGTTTTACATTTAATTTATTTATACAATTCTTTAAAAAAGTTTTGTGCATTAAATTTTTTTTCTGTTTCAAGTAGATTTTTATAACAATACTGTAATTCACCAGAAATAGTAGACAGATGCATATGGCATTCTGCCAACAACAATGCAGATCAAGCTGTTACTTTATTTGGAGAACATTTTACTGAGAGCAAAGCATTGTTTTCATAAAAACATCCTCTGTAATGTTTCTTTTCTTCAAATAAAATAGATTTTCATTCTAGTTCAAGGAAGATCCAGGCTGACCAGTGTAACTAATTTGATACTGTGATTGCTGATAAATGACATGCTATTCGGTTTGACACTAACTCATAGTGGTGAAAGATTTTAGTAAGTAGACCCTGTGAATGGTCATTTCTATAAAATCACATTAATTTATATTTAATGTGTGTGAAAAAGTTTGCAAATTTTAACAAGTTAGTAGAAAATAAGAGCATGATGTTATCATTTATGTTAATTGTTGTCAAGTAAAGGCTTGGAGACTACAGTACTGTACTATAATATGACAATAATATATTGGAATTTTTAACATATACCATATCAGTACTTTTACCATTACTAAAGTGAAATTGTGAGAACAAAGAAGTTAACAGATACAGTGGAACTTCGACACTCGAACTTAATTGGTTCCAGAAGACTGTTCAAGTACACAAATAAAATTTTTCCCAACCAATTTTCTTTTTGGTTGGTTATCACTAGCCCTCATGGTGACTTATTTATACAAGTAATACTTAGCACTTCTTTTTGATTATAAAAACAAAAATGCAAAGAAACATGAAATAGTTTAAAGTTAAGTTCTGGCAAGTCATGTGCCAGGCGATTTGTTTACTGAACAAATCATTCGAATACCGAGGTTCCACTGTACTAGGATATGATTTTTAGTACAAGTATTATATGTAGGAATCATTTACAGTACACATGTAACATAATATGCCTTATTTAAAAAATTGAATTTTCATTTGTAATATTGTATATATAAACTGGCTAATAATGTATAGTGTAGAAGATCTTGAGATAACCAAATGTGTGGAATATCATCATGTTTGGCAAATAAAAGATATTGCATGCAGGCAGCTTTGACTGTATGGCATATGGAAGGTTTGAAATTAAAAAAAAATTATTTCATACAGAAAACTTTTAATTAATAATATTATGTAAGTGCAGGTATTCTGCATAAATCATTACAGCTTTGACATGGTATCTTAAAATACAGATTTGCATGACAATTTTTTTTTAGTCTGGAACTTTATATCTAGGACAGGAAAGGGAGGCCTTTTATTACTGCTAGCTGCTGATTAGTATATCTGTGAATCACTCTTTATTAATAAAATGTGTGCTGTGAATGTATCTGCTAGACTTGAGAGAGGCACATTAAATTCTCTTTACTTTATAACTATTTTTTGTAGATCTAAAAAACCCAAATATCATGTGTAATTAAGTTACAAATGCATATTTTGTCAGGATTTTTACTGTCCAAGTAATTGAAAAAAAGTATATAATTAATTAAAATTTATACTCATAATATTCCTTTTAGTAAAGCTAAAAAAAAATATGGACAAGACATGTGTGTACAGCACTGCATTCTGAATTCCCATAAAAAATAAAAAGCAGTAGCACGACTGTTTACCAGTTCATGTATTGTTTGTGGAAGTAAAGTTATAAATACAAAAAGGTGTTAATAATTGTATTGAAAATTACTAATGATATTCATATTAAACTTAAGATATAAATCAATAAAGTTTTCTTAAAATAAATACATATTGGTAATGTTCAGTGAATTAAGTTATAGTATAACTTTAATGTACAATGGATTAAATTATATTTTCTGTTTATAAAATGGTAACTTCAGCATGTATTATACTTAAGATTTATTTACATATTTCAAAGAGCTTTAAAGGTGTCAGCTTGTTGAGAATAGTAGATAAAATTTGACTGGTGTAATTTTATACAATGGGTAAAAAACATTGTGCTAATAATGAGTTGAATTTAATTCAAAGACTCAGTACAGGTATTTACTTTTCATCATGAATAAAAATATTAATGATCTAGTATAAGCCAATATAAAATTAATTTTATTCTTATATAAAGTAATATGGGTGAAAGATGTACAATTTTACCAAAAGCCTTTATGGTATTACAAGATAAGTAAAATTCTGACCTATTTCTTTAGAATACTGTTATGATTTACAAGTATTTAACCAGTTTCATTCCAGCAGTGAGCTACAAATGTATGGAAAACCAGACTGTCAAATGAATATTGTTGAAAATGGCATGAATAAAATAAATCTAAAATTCTATTTGACATTTCATTTCACATGCATCAATTTGGAAAAAAGCGAATAAAGAAATTGAAAAAATTTCAGTACATGTGTATATCCTGTATGAGCAGACTTTTTTTTGTGGCAGACACTATGATCCTCAGCAGTGCTTTAGTTCATGCTAGTTTGGGATTTCCAATAAGATATGAGATACACCTGGTAGGGCCTCTCTGATGATGGAAGTACTTCTGGAGCTTGCCTTATATTCCTTCCTCAGTTCAATTTGTTGAACTGTCATCCTTCCATACTCTAATACAACAAGACTGGAGACTGCAAATGAGATCTGAAAATTGGTGCCCAATTAAGACATGCTATGCATGCAAGAAAACACTACCACTAAAAGTTTGAAGTTAATCATTCAAGAGATTTAGTTTTGATTATAATAATCAAACTCTAGTCATAGCATGGATCTAAAGGATTCCAAATATATTTTGCAGTGCTGTATGACCCTTGTGGGTTTAGTGCTTAGTTAAAAGATAATTTGATTATTATAATCATAACTATGTTAATATTTTGGCAAATATGTACACACAAACTAAACGTATTGGTTATGATGCATTAGTCATTAAAGATTGAAGCTGTTCAAAATAGGTATCCAATTAATTTGCCCAAAATGTATTATATATTAATGGGTTCATACAACTTTTTTGGGTTATCTTTGGTAATTTACACATAGTACTAGGTATAATAATTATATTCATGTACCTAAATAAAATTTATTTTGTGCCTACCAATGTGGTTTACATGTAAAAATTTGTGTCCAGTCCCTGGACCCACTATGTACCTCTGTAATCTTTTGACTACCACCCACAGGATGGGTATGTGGTACATATTAAACTAAATTTTCCCTGCAGAACCTATACCTTATATTTCAGTTATAACACATGGGAAAACTTGTACAATAATAGCAAAACATTTATTGATTTATATTACTATCACAATTAAATATAATCAACTAACGAACACTAGAGGACATTTTCTCGACTACATAAAATCCTATCTTAACCATAGACACCAGTATGTACATGGAAATGGAGTCAACTCTGCTATCCAACCTGTAGGAGTACCCCAGGGTAGTGTCCTAGGCCCACTCATCTGCATCAATGATCTCCCCAATGCATCCCAACTCCTTAAACATATGTCTATTCCCATTCAGACCCAGCTGTACTTAGAAACACACTGTAAACAATGAACTGCTAAAGATATATATACTTAGATGATGACCAACAAACTCACTCTCAACATAGACAAAACATACTTCATGCTGTTTGGCAACAAAGCCTTAAATATCCAACTTAACATATTGTTAAATGGTTCCCCTATAGCAAGACACACGGAGGGCAAATTTCTAGTTCACCTTGCCCATAATCTTAAATTTCAGTCACATAGCCAAAAAAAAAAAAAATGTCCAAATTAGTAGGAATCCTTTCCAAGATACAATACTATGTACCACAAACGACTCTCCTTACCCTGTACCACTCTAATATATCCTTACCTCACTTACGTTATTTGTGCCTGGGGCTCAACCACCTTAGATCCTTAATAATCCAACAAAAAGCTGCTGTGCAGGTGATAACCAGCTCCTGTGCTAGACAGCACAACCCACCACTTTTCAAAAGACTCAACTTGCTTAATATACAAGACATACACTCATATTATTGTGCCTACTACATATACAGAGCATTAAACTCCACTGTAAACCCTCCCCTATTATTATAATAAAAAAAAAATGCTAAGCCACAAGGGCTATACAGCACTGCAGGGTAGGGAAGGAAATGAGGGTATTGGGTGGGGGGAGGGATGATCAGTAGGTTACAGAAAACAGTGGGGCGGGGGTAGAGGGTAGCAAGAGATTGAGGTAGAAAGGGCTGAAGGTATCAGAGTTTGTGAAATAAGTCAGTTGTTGTCAAAAAGTCAATGAGAGAGTCCGGATGAAAGGTGGGTCCATCAGCGAGAAGGGAAGGTAAAGAGAGAGCAGCGGAGCGAAGACGACGACGGAGGTAAATGCTGCGTGCTCGTTGATAAAGTGGGCAGTCTAACAGAATGTGGCTGACTGATAATGGAACCTGACAATTCTCACAGATAGGAGCAGGGCGCCTCTCCATGAGTAAGATGAGTATGGCCAATGCGAAGACGGGAGAGCGTAGTCTCCCAACCTCGACACTGGTGACAAGAAGACGGCCAGTAACCTATACTCGGTTTAATAGATTGAAGTCTGTTACTGAGCATAGTAGACCAACATTGTTGCCAACAGGTGTGTAGCTATTGCAGCAAAATAGTCCGTAAATGGGATACCTCTATATGAAACTGGTAGGTCATATACGTACTGCTGACCGCGCAGCAGTGTCTGCCTGTTCGTTGCCCTGTACGTCAACATGACCAGGGACCCAACAAAAAAACTGTCTTTATGCTTGGTAAAGATGCGGCGTAGCCAAAGTTGGATACAGAGGACTAAGGGGTGAGGTGTATCAAATTTCTGTATAGCCTGTAAAGCACTAAGGGATTCTGAGACAACTACAAATGATGATACAGGCATAGATGCAATACGGATAAGTGCTGCAAGAATGGCATACAACTCAGCAGTAAAAATACTAGACAAAGACAGTAAATGCCCTTGTACGACGCTGTCCGGAAACACTGCTGCGAATCCTACGCCGTCAGGAGACTTAGAGCCATCTGTGTACACTGCAATGGCATGAGAATGAGAGTGGAAGTGGTCAAGAAAAAAAGAGAGCAAGAAGCGACCGTAGGCAGTTGGGCTTTCGAGCAAGGGAGAGAGAAAGAACAGACTCGAACAGCTGGAACTTCCCAGTGGGGTAGGGAAAAGTGAGATGCTACATGAACATAGAAAGGTGGTAATTGAAGAGAAGACAAGAGCGAATGTAGGCGAAGAGAGAAGGGACGGAGTAAACAGGGGCGACGAACAAATAATGTCTACTAATATCAGTGACCATTCTATAAATGGAAGGATTGCGGAGATCATGAGAGCGTACATAGTAGCGAAGGCAATGGGCATCACGGCGATCGGATAAGGATGGAACGTTCGCTTCTGCATAGAGGCTCTCAACAGGGAAAGAGCGAAAAGCACCAAGGCATAAACGTAATCCTTGATGAATGGGGTTAAGATTAGAGAGAGTAGCAGGAGAAGCCGTTGAATAGATCTGGTCACCATAATCAAGTTTCGATAAAATGAGGGTGGAATGTAGGCGAAGGAGAGTTCGACGATCAGCTCCCCATGAAAGATGAGCAAGGGTTTTAAGAAGGTTCAGCCGGCTGTGACAAGTTGCCTTCAGAGAGGTAATGTGAGGTTTCCTGGATAACCTATGGTCAAAGAGGAGGCCCAGAAACCTGACTGTATCACGTTCAGGGATATGGGAGCCATAGAGGTACAAAGGATGATCGGAGATGACAGAGCGTCTAGTGAAAGTAATTTGGCGAGTTTTGGTGCTGGAAAATTTAAACCCATGTGTGGTGGCCCAATTGGAAACACGGTCGACCGCATGCTGGAGAGAAACTGTAATGAGGTGACAGTCAGCGCCTGCACAGGCAATAGCGAAGTCATCAACATAGAGTGATAACCAAATATTTGATGGAAGACTAGAGGCCAAATCATTTATAGCAAGGAGAAAAAGTGTTGTGCTCAAAAATTCATCCCTGGGGGACACCTTCAGCTTGGATAAAGTCCGGGGAGAGCACATTATTAACCCGAACACGGAAATGCCTGTCAGTTAAAAAGTTCTTAAGGAAGGATGGTAGATTGCCTCAAAGGCCTAAGGAGTGGGCTTGGGCTAAAATATTATACCTCCAAGTTGTGTCATATGCCTTCTCAAGGTCAAAAAATATGGCAATAACTGAGTGGTTATTCGCAAAGGCATTACGAACATACGTATCCAAGCGTAGTAAGGGGTCTATGGTAGAACGTCCCTTACGAAAGCCATATTGACAAGTGGAGAGACTGTTGTGTCTCTCTAAATACCACGCTAAACGTCTATTTACCAGGTGTTCCATCACTTTGCAAACTGCACTGGTAAGAGCAATGGGACGATAGTGATAGGCTTCATGTCCCGTAGTGCCTGGTTTGTGGAAAGGTAGAACAATGGCAGATTTCCACAGCTGTGGAAGAACTCCTTGTGACCGAATAAGATTGAAAAGGCGTAATAGGACTGCAAGGGCTGACTGATGTAAATGTTGTAGCATACGAATATGAATGTTGTCGGGCCCAGTTGCCGATGATCGGCAAGCTGAGAGTGTTGCCTCCAGTTCTTGAAGTGTAAAAGGCACATTATACTGTTCTTCTCTGAGAGAAGAAAAGTCCAAGGGTGCTAACTCTCTGGCAGACTTTGAGGAAAGAAACGAGGGGCATAGATGGAGCCCCTGAGAAATACGGACCACATGATTGCCAATTTCATTGGCAACATCTAGTGGGTTTGCTATATCAACACCAGCAACCCGCAGAACAGGAGCCACGTCAGGAGAATATTTACCACTCAGTTTTCGTACTTTTTTCCAGACTGCACTCATAGAGGAAGCCGAGGTGATGGTGGAGACAATCTCGCCAGCAAGTGCGTTTAGCGTCACGGATGACACGGCGAGCGATCGCACGCTTCTGCTTAAAATCAAGAAGTCTCTCCGTGGTTCTATTGTACCGGTACCTGCCCCATGCAGCACGTTTCAAACGTACTGCACGAGCACAAGCAGGAGACCACCAAGGCACGCATTTCTGAGAATGCCTGCCCGAAGTTTGGGGTATAGAATGAGAAGCTGCGGTTAAAACGGAGGACAAGAAGAGGTGTAAAAGCTCATCAATGGAGGACAAAGAAGGAACCTCACTAAAAACAGTTAGTTGTGAGTAAAGGTTCCAATTTGTCTGATCAAATTGCCAGCGTGGGATACGAAGAAGTGGTGAATATGAAGGGGAAGTAAGAATGATTGGGAAATGATCACTGTCATGTAAATCCGGGAGAACAGACCAGGTGAAGTCTAATGCGGCAGAGGAAGAGCAGACTGAGAGATCGATGCAAGAGAGAGAGCGAGTCCGAGGATCAAAATGGGTGCAAGTACCTGTATTTAAAACATGAAGGGGGTGGGTGGCAAGAAAAGCCTCTAACTGAATGCCATGGGAATCACAGTGAGATCCCCCGAGGAAATGATGGGCATTAAAATCGTCAAGTAACAGAATCGGTGGTGGTAATGACGAAACAAGAAAGGCAATATCCAGAATAGATAATGCCAGAGAAGGAGAGAGATAAAGAACAGAGCGTATACCACCTATGCAAGTGGATA